TTTGGTCAAAGACGGCTGGAGGCCTTTCTCAAATGAGCCCCACTGTCCCGAGGAGCCCACGGCTCTCAGCAGTCACACAGGAGCACGCGTCGCACTAACTTCGCTGTGACCCACTGGGTGACCCCACCCCCTGCTGCTCTGGGGAAAAGCGATGGGACGTGTCCAGAGGACACGCAGGTGCCTGAGACCTGCCCCCTCCACCCACATCATCTCACTGTCCTGAGTGGCACTAGAGGCTGTGCCTGGGGCGGGGGTGACCAGGGGGGTCTGTGGGTTCCATCTGGGCCTCCCCCAGGGGTCAGGAGAGGCAGCCTGACCCCCCCCCCCCCCGATGCTCAGACACTGCAGACCCTCCCCTGCCCTCACCCGCCGCCGCCAAGCAGCTCGCTGGGGAAAGCCAGCCCCTTGGTCCCTGGAGGCAGGAGCCCCAGGACTGTGGCCCTCGGGTCCCCAGCACAGAGCCAGTGCGAGCGCCCATCACCCGCCCAGGGAGGCAGCACCGGCCCGCGGACTCACCAGCAGGATGGCGGTGAGGAGGCCGTCGAACACGTTGCTGGGGTAGGACAGATACCCGGACAGCCCCAGCGCGAACACCTTGAGCAGCATCTCCGCCAGGTAGTACAGGATGAAGACGCAGTTGAGAATCTGAAAGGGGCCCGCAGATGCCCAGCGTTCAGTCCCAGACCTCCCTGACCTCCCCCTGGCCATTCGGTCTCGAGCCCCTGCTGCCCCCTCGGGTCCCTCTTTCTCCCCGACCCTCCCTCTGCCGTCCGCCCCGCTAGGCTGACTACACTGCACTCACCGGGGCCTCTGCACCTGGCTCCCGGCCTGCACCAGCCTCCCCCCACGGCCTGCCACCCCCAACTCGGGGGACCCCATGACACCAGTCCCTCGGAACTAGAATGGCCCTCCTCCAGCAGACCCGGAGCCCCAGCCGAGGCCGGACAGCCAAGCAGCCTCAGAGCTCACCCCCAGCATGAAGTCGTCACGGTCTTGGGGCGGGACACCTGCGTCATGCACCAGGAACACCTGCAGAGCCAGAGGGAGAGGCTCGCAGCCCGGCCCAGCACTGGGCCGACCGCAAGGCCACGATCGGCCGTTGGGGGGCAGGGCCAGGAACCCAGGAACGAGAAACCTCCCGGGGCCACTCGAGGGCACGCCTGTGCTCACACAAATGGACACGAGGTTCGCAAGGACGATGACGTTCCCCAGGTAGTCAAAGTAGCGGTGGCCGAACAGGAACTGCGCGACCCGCAGGAACGGGGACTGGTACTCGGGCCGTGGCGGGTGCTGGGGGGACACATACTCAGAATCAGGGCTGTGCCCCTCATCCTGGGACCCGACGTCCCTCCCCTGATCCCTGCCCGTCTACCAGCCCATGGGAATCATCACCAACCCCGGCGTGGTCCCTCACACGGAGACGCCATCACAGTGTTTGTAACAACAGAGGCAGCAGTGCCCTGAGCGTGCCTGGCACCGAAAGGAACCACAACAAGACAGCACGCAGCCATCTTAAGTGTTTGCCACGATGTGAAAAGCGTTATGTGAAAAACACAGATAAATTCCATGCTGAGAACTACGAAAACATGGCACAGAGCAAGAGACAGGGGTGGGAAGTGATGGAGGGCACTTTGGCAGTAAACACGGACATGAAACACTGGAAAGAGGTGTGACAGGAACCACCCCAATGTGCCTCTGAGTGGACAGGGACGCAGAGGTGAGGAGCGCGAGAATGCCCGCACCCGCACCGTCCCACAGCGGCCACTGACTGCACAGGGCTACTGAGTTCACGGGCAATCAAATACGTGACGTATGTAGAAAAGGGCTCTCTAAAGCAGCCGTCGCCAACTGGTGGCCCGCGGACCACTGGTGATCCATGGGGTGCGAAAGGTGGGCGGCCGCTGCTCTAAAGAGTATTAACATAGAAGGTCAGTAGGCGGCCCTAATCCCACAGGACTGGGGTCCTTATAAGAGGAGGTCAGGACACAGACACACACAGAGGGACCACGTGGGGACACAGGGAGAAGACGCCGTCTACACACCCAGGAGGGAGGCCTTGGGAGGAACCAGCCCTGGACACCCGGGTCTCGGACTCCCCCGCTGCCTGCTGCCCACACCCCATTCTCGAAGGCCAAGCGGTTGGACCAGCCACCCCCCCACCCCCGACCCTGTACGCCTGGGTCTTGGACTCTAGTCTCCAGGACGGGGACAGTAAACCTGCTGGTTGGGCCGCCAGCCTGGCACTTGTCACGGCCGCTGAGCTGACTGAGCAGCGGCACAGAGCTGTGCGGAGTCCGGCCAGCCGATGTCGGACTCCCCCGCTGCCTGCTGCCCACAGCCCATTCTCGAAGGCCAAGCGGCTGGACCAGCAATACCCCTCCTATCCCCCCCAACCCTGAACGACCTGTGAGCCTCAGCATCTCCAGGAAACCCTCTACATAAAACGCAGGTGGGGCATCTGCACATGGTGCTGAGCAGGACGCCGCGGCCCATGTGGGGGTTTCACCCATCAGGTCAGGACAAAGACCACGGCTTTACAGCTCGGAGCCCCCGCAGAAGGACATGGGGAAGAGGATGTTTGTCATGGAGACAGAGAAAGCCATTTGGAAGGTTCCTCGGTGGCTTTCATGAGGGCAACCACACCTCCCAGCTTCCAACAGCCAACCATCTCCGTCCCTTTACTGTCCTAGGGGCCAGAATCCCTGGGCAGGCCAGTCCCGGCACCAGTCACCACGTTACCCAGGCGGTCAAGCCCTCCGCCTCTGCAAACTCCCCCCTGACCCTGGGAGCCCTGGCCCAGTTACCTCCTTCATCAGACTTTTGTCAAGCTCGTTGAACAGCTTCTGAAACTCGTCAGCTGACAGCAGGCCATCACCATGGGAGCGCACCTTCTGCAAAGCAGGGAGGCACAGGTCAGCGGGCCAAGGCCAGAGCAAGGTGAGCCCCCCACCATCCCAGATGGTCTGGCCCCGCTGCTCTGAGATGACACCCGTCCTGATCAGGGGCTGCTGGCCCACAGGACCACCAGGAGGAGCATGGCCGGGGAGGCCGGGAGGCCAGGGAGGGTGGGGGCTGTACCTCCATGATGGCCTGCTTGTGGGTGCTGTCCACCTGGACTTTCTGAAGCACCTGCAGGAGGTCCTGGGCCCTCACCCCAACTCTGTGGAGAAAAAACACCCACACCCAGTGAGCTCACTAGCTCCGTCCCCCGGGCGCCCGACCTCTGGCCTGAACCGCGCAGCCCTGGGCGATGGCAAGGCCTCCACAGGAGCAACTGCGGGCATCTAGCCAACCTCTAACATCCCAAGACACTGTCAGGTCCTCCCCGAGGGGGCGGGAGGCAGGGCGCTGACGGGCAGCCTCCAACCAGGCGCAGTGGGGAGGCTGGTCCCTCTGTTCCCAACACCCAGCTTGGGGCCCAGGTGTGTGGGGAGGGAAGGGTGTGGTGGGTGAGCAGGCAGAGCCGCTGGGCCCCCTGGAGCACGGGGCGGGCAGGGTGAGGAGGGGAGCGGGCGGCGTGACATGGGAGCTGTCAAGTCCGCAGGGAGCTCTCGGGGTGGTGCTTAGCTCTAGCCCCAGTGCGCACCACGGCCCCCCAGGGAGCCCCGCACTCACCCCTGAGGGCGGGCTTCTCTGTCCGCCATCCAGGAGAGGACCTCGTAGGCAGCCCGGGTCCCCAGCCGCTTCCGGAACAGTGAGGCCTGGACAGATTTCTACAAGGAGGGTGCCTCTGAGTGGCCGGCCCGGCCCAGCAGGACAGCACAGCCCTCAGCCCGCAGCCTCTGAGGGCCCTCCCGGGTCGGGATAGTCACAGGACAGTGACGGTTTCGCAGGAAGGAGCTGAGGGCACTGGCTGAGCCCGCCCCGTGCAGTGGGGGTCCTGGCTCTCCCACAGGAGGGTCCAGAGTCCATTGCCCTGGCAGCTGTAATCTTGTCGCTTCCCTCAGAAGAGCAGGATGCGGCACAGCTCCAGCTCATCCACAAGAGGAAGCCAGAGGACAGTGCAGAGACCACTGTGGACCCTACCCCCACGGGGACCTGGCCAGGCCCCCACAGGCTGCTTGGCCTCGGGCCGGGCCGGCAGCCTCGCTCACCAGCAGGTAGCCCCGGAACTGATTATAGATGATGGCCGTCAGCAGGTTCATCAAAAACAAGCTTCCTTCAGGAAGAAAACGCCTCGGTCAGTGAGGAGCAGCAGCTGAGGGGGCCTGGGGGCAGTGCCCAGAGGTGCAGAGGGTCACACGGGCACAGCAACCCCAGGGGTGCCAGCAAAAAGGGCCCGGACGACCGCAGAGCAGGAAGGGGCCTGGACACGTCACTCACTGCCCTCATCTACACAGTGCAGGTGCCACCCGGCCTGCCCAGCGTGGCACTGAGGACAGCGGTCTCAGTGGTCACAGACTCCAGACAGGGCATGCCCCTCCCCCCGAGGTGAAGTCACAGGGTCGGGCAGCACGCCTACCCCTGAGCATTAGAGGGGACAGAATTTTACCCCAGTGACCCCTGCAGACCCGCCCAGACTCACCGATCAGGGTGAAAACTATGAAGAAGAGGGCAAAGGCCCGGTTCTTGGAATACGCAGGAACCATGACTGAGGAAGAAATCAGAGAAACTGAAACAGGCTCACAGCTCAGCACTGGTCCCGCTCCTGCCGTGCCCAGACCCCTGGCGTTCTCTGGAGTGGGCTCTGCTCAGGGAGAGCTGGAGCCTCCTGGTCCAAACTCTGACCCTCCCGCCTCCGCTCGCACACCCCTGGTCACGGGGAGCTCACTACCGTCAGGATGCCCACCCCTTCTGCTGAGCTGACGTCTGCCTCCTGCGACCACCCCACAGGCTGAGAGCCCAGCTCTCCCTCGGGGACGGGCTAGGGCTCTCAGGACCTGTGGGCACGGGGCTGAGTCCCACGGCACTGCTCTGTGGGTGGAAGCCAAGGCTGCGCTCCTGGGAAGGTCTCTGTGGTGGTGACCATCCCGAGTCCAAGACGAAGAGACCAGCCCAGGTGGCCAGTCACAGCCGAGCCTTAGAGGACGACAGCCACCGTCCTGGCCACCCCTGGCCCGAGCAGACACAGGCCCCATCAGCAACCCAAAAGGGACGCCATGGCCAGGGACAACCCGGGGCCTCACACACACAACTGCTGAGCCGCACCCCACAGCTGAGGAAATGGTGGGGCCCCAGAGGCCAGCGGGGGACCCCCTGACACTGCCGTTCCTCACCACATAAAGAACAGCTTTTAGCTTCTCAGAGGAGTCAGGAGAGAAGGGGAAAGAGGAGACAGGGAACAGTTATAAAAGGAGGGACGAGAAAGTAAATGAAAAGGGAAGGAAAAAGTAGAAAAAAGGAAAACAAGGAAGGAAGGAAGGCGGGAGGGGGGATCCAGGTCACCCTGCTTCCCTCCGCCTGCTGAGCTGGAGGCCTCTCGGCTCCGCAGGAACCAGGCCTCCCCCCCTTGCCCGCTGGCCAGCCCACGCCCACCCAGCCCGCTGCTCACGCACCGTCAGGGTTGTTGGCCGTGGTCAGCAGCACCAGGAGCGAGGTCAGGGACTCCGCCAGGTCGCGGAAGTAGATCAGCCTCTCCCTGTCCTGCCCATCGCCCTGCTGAGAGCAGAGGGGGCAGCCCTGAGGAGCCACACGGGCCCGCTCCCCGCCAGCTCAGGCCGTGGCCCAGCAGAGCTCCAGGCCTGGACCCAACCAGGGGGACCCTCCTACCCACGACCAACCAGCCCAGGCCCCTCCCTGAAATCAGCAACCTCTGGGCCCAACTGCCTCGGGCTCTGCAGGGAGCAGCAAGGGCGGCCACTGCACGGCCCCTGGGGCCTGAGAGTCTGCCAGCTGGTCCCACCCAGACACACACACACACACACACCCCCCCCCCCCCCCCCCCCCCCCCCCCCCCCCCGGGGGGGGGGGGGGGGGGGGGGAGTCCTCAGTCTCCCTTGTGGGCAGCTCAGCACCAAGCCCCAAACACTGCCACAGGCTAATGAAGACCAGCCCTGGCCAAGCACTGGCCACATCCGCAGACAGAAATGCAGGACAGCTCTGGCCTGAGGACGACAGTGACCTGGCCAGGAAGTGAGGACACACATGGGACCACAGATGTGCGGGCGCAGGGGCAAGCGGGTGACGGGGCAGGCACCACCACACAGCAACAAGCTGCTGGGGGCCGGAAGCAGCAAGGGCAGGAGCGGAGGGGACCAGGCAAAGCCCAGGGCTGGAGAAGAGGGACATGGTGAGAGGTGCCTGCTGGACAGACGGACAGGTGCTGTGAGAGGGGCCATCCCGCCGGCCCCAAGTGCCAATCTGAGGGGCCTGTCTAGGAGAGTGCAGAGAAAGCCCAGTCAGAGCCTGGGGAGGGGAGGGAAGAGGAGGCAGCCAGGCAGAGGCAGAGCGACCTGGAGCCCAGGAGTCCCGGGCAGGGGAGCAGTGGGCCAGCTCTAAACCGCGGTCATCTGAAGCAAGACAGCGGACTGCAGGTGGGCACCACTGCCCTTCCCGTGAGGTGGGCAGCAGTCCTCTTCTCTGCTGGCCCGAGAACCACCCAGCGGGGTTCCCACGAGGCGGACTAACAGAGGGCCCACCCCGCCATCAAACCGAGCAGAGCGGCTGAGGCCGGTACCTTGTTGCCGGTGAAGAGCAGCATCCCGAGCATGGTGAAGACGCACAGGTGCAGCGCCAGCAGCAGCACCACGCTGGAAGGACGGGCGTGGGCTCAGCACCGGGCAGGTGCCCGCATGCCCAACGGGATGGGGGTCCAGGGACCCAGCCACCCGGGGAGCTCCCGCAGCCAGCCTCAGGGCAGGTGCCCTCTCTGTCCCACAGCCTGCCATGCACCCAGCGGGGTCCTGCCCTAACCAAGCCTCTTTCTTTGGCAGGGACAACCCACAACCCAGGGGCATGTCCCAGGAGTCCCAGGACCCCAGGGGCTGGAGGGTGAGGGTCAGCCACGTGAGCCATGAGGGGAGCCCCAGACGCCGACCACAGGGCAGGGAGCAGGACAGCCCGTCCTGCCTGCACGCCCGGCGTAGCCCACCTGGCCATTTCCGGCAGCGACCACCGGATGCACTTGAGCATCTTCTTCATCATGGAGGAGTTCTGCAGCAGGAAGAAGGGCCGCAGGAGCCGGCGCAGCCGCAGGGGCTGGAAGAGACCAGGACACTGAACGCCAGGCCGGGCTTTCAAGTGCTACCCACACCCCACACCTGCCACGGGAGGTGGGCAAACCACAGAGACCCTCCTGGGCCACACGCCCCAGCTGCTTCCCTCCCGGCTCCTGGTCACAGCCCTGACCTAGACTCAGGCGTCCTCGCTGTCCCAGCTCGCCCAGCCCTGCAGACATGTGGTGCCCTTCCCGATGGGGCGGCCCCACACCTCGCAGAGCAGCCTACACGTGGCTCTGGCAGTGGGGCTGTCCCACCCCACAGAGAGCCTCATCTCCCTCTGGACTCCCAAGTTCAACCTCTAATCCAGGCTCTCAACCCACATCACGTCCTACGGATGACCTGTCTTAGAAACGTAAGGCTGGCCATGTCACCTTCCGGCCCAAGCGTCCAGGGCTGCCTGGGCCCTCCAGCCCGGCCCCGCCGCCCCTCACCATCCCGCTGGCACGGCACTCAGCCCCTGTCTGCTCAGCCAGCTGGCTGTCCCTGTCACCGTCCCTCCCGTCTCAGTGGAAGAGCCACCTCCTCAAGTGCTGCCCTGGGCCGCTTTCCCTGGCACTGAGATCCCAGTACATATCCGGTGTTTCCTGGGACTGCCAGTCTCTCCCCGCAGCACAAGGGCCCGCAGCACTGGCGCACAGTAGGCCCTCCACCTGGCAAGGATGCCCTGCACCTCCCTGTGTGGCACTCCTCGCAGAAGGGCCCCCGTGCCCTGCACAGCACCTCGAAGGCCAAGGAACCCGCAGTACACGGGCACCCCCACCCCCACACCCTGCCCACAGCCCACTGCACAGGAGCTCCGTCCCAGGCCCAGCCAGAGTCCCGCAGCCTCCCTCCAGGTGCCGCCGGCACACCCGGTCTCGGACCCTTGGCTGTGGTCAGACACGGACCAGAGTGCGGCTTCCAGACACAGTAACCCAGTCCCCAGCGCTTCCCAAGCTGAGGCCACGTCAGGGCAGGGACACGCGGAGCTCACAGGGGGTGGGAGGCACCGCCATGCGGCTCGCCTGCAGGAGGAGCCAGCCCAGCGCCTGGGAAGCCCTGGCAAGGCCACCCGGGCACTGCAGCCCAGGTCCCAAGGCTTTGGGGAGGAGCCACCAACTGCTCTACAGACGCTAGTCTCCTGTGAGCAACAGCCACGCTGAGCCGTGACCATGGCCCCTCGGTGACCTGCAGCCCACATGTAACCCGTCCCGCTCGGCCTCAAGTTGGGGGAGAAACAGGCGGTCAGGTAGACATGGAAGTGAGATGGGGCTCAAGCAGGTCAGAGGCCCCAAGGCCTCCCGAGGGCCCCCGATGCCTGCGGGAGTTCCTGCTGACCAGCCAGCTGGCCACGGAGACAAACCTCGGGCCTCGTGTGCGGACGGGTCTGGGTATTGGGCCAGCCCCAAGCAGAAGTCAGTCCCTAAGAGACGGTGCCGAGGAAAAGCTCTGCCGGGGGCAGGTCACTGGACTGAGAAAGGTTACGCTCCTGGTGGGTGGTCAGGGCCTGGAGGGAACAGACTGGACGACCGGGGACGAGGACGTCTGCGGAGGACACGTGTGGGCAGGAGGGAACGCACCCCAGGGCATCCCCCAGGAGAGGCTCTCTGGACAGGATGACAGTCCGTGGATGTCCCCGAGCCCCTCAACACCCCGCTCCGATCTCCAGGGACGGAGGCCACTACCGAGGGCCCACCCTGCCAGAAGCAGAGCCCAGGCCGGCCCCCATGTAGCCCCTGGCGGGTGGCGACTGCCCAGCCCTCCCCCCTGCAGGGCGCTGCTCTGCCCACTCTGGGCAGACAGGTGTGCGGGTTGGGGCTCTGCCTGCCCTGCCTGAGGCCTCTCCCAGGACCATCCACGCCTCAGGGCCAACCCCGCTTCAGACCAGGGCAGAGCTCACAGCCCTCGCCGGCCTCGCCCAAAGCAGGCGGCCTGTTGGTGGGCCCCAGGCCCTAGGAAGGCCCAGGAACACAGGGCAAAAGGGATGGCAACACCTCCGCTCCCTGCCCCCAGCTCCGGGCCTGCCGGCTGCGAATGCCTGCTTCTAAAGGGGGTGCTCCCCCCAAGGACACACCATGACTCTAGGCGAAAAGGGGCTGGGTGCCAGCAGGGTGAGTGGTCCGTTTCCAAGGACAGATTGGGGGGGCTACCGTCCAGTAACCAGAGGCAGGACCACCGAGCACTGAGGCCCCTCAGGAACGAATGTGGCCCCCCCACCAGATAACGAACCCAGACCAGCTGGGAGCACGTGGGTGGGAGCAGGAGGAAGTTACAGATTTCTGTTAGGACCGGCGACCAGCAGCAACACAGACACGGCTGTGTGTATTAGCCAATCTTCCTCCCAGCGTCATCCAAGGATTGGGGGTGGTGAGGGTCACAATTTAGGCTGAAGTGACAGAAGGTTTGAGTGACCGGTAACACGGACGCAATGATGGCACTAGGAAATGGAGCCAGTGGAGGCGCCTCCCAGAACCAACCTCATCGAGCCTCTGGGCGACACCAGAGGGTGCCCTCCCCAGAGGTCAGAGGGCAGGTCCCAGCTCTGGGAGCCCGGGGTGGGGGAGGGGGTGCTTCCCGCAGTTCTCTCTGAGTTCCACTGGGTCCCCTTTTTGCTCTTGCAGTTACTCAACCCCTGCTTAAGTCCCTGTGTCAAATTCCCTCCACTAAAGCCCCTGGTGGGCCTCCAGCATTGTGTCCCTCACCAGCCCTGATGGACACGACGTCCCCAAACCAACTCTTCCCAGCTCTGTCCCACCGAACCACAGGGTAGTGCTCCTGGGTGCTCTGAGGGGAAGCAAAGAGGCTGCAGTCAAACGGGCAGAGCCGCCTGCTCCCATGGGATTTTTACTGTCGGGGTCACAGAGCTCTGGGCGTGTGGCTAGGGTGAGGCCCTGGGGTGGTGCTTAATGGGGGACCCATCCAGTCAAGGAATCAGCTTAAAGGAGTGGAGCAGGAATCGGGACCCTGGAACATGCTCTCAGGTCCTCCCGCCTTCTCCAGGCCTCAAGGTCATCACAAGGTGGGAACAGGCTCCCTAGGCAATGGGTGACGCACGGCTATGCAGGGAGGGCTATGCAGGGCAGGCGGAGCTGGGAGCTGGGAGCTGGGAGCTGGGTGGGTGGGTGGAATGACTGCAGGACCTCAGGACGCCAGCTGTTCACCTGGGCGGCTACACTGTGCAGTCTGCCCAGAGCTCCCCACTCCCGCCCCAGAGCCAGCTCACCACCTACCTCCTGGCAGACGAGACTCAGCGACACCATCCAGTCCACGAAAGACACGACCAGCACCACCAGGTAGGCCAGCAGCCACAGGCTCTTCCGGAACTGGGGCCACCCAACCAGGTAGCTCTGCGAGAGAGACAGTGGGTGAGTGGGTGGGCGGTGGGCATCCGTGCAGATGGCCCTGCAGCCAGTCGAGGCTGTCGGTGCACAGGGCAAGGCTGGGTGGCCGGGGCAGAGCACCTCAGCAAGCAGCGTGGTCTCTTCGTGACGTGGGGAGCAAGAAACAGAGCTCCCTCCCAGCCCCCAGAGACCTCAGGCGCTGAGGACCTTGAGCTTGGCACCTAACAGCTCAGGCGCCGGTTTCCTCATCGGTAATTCGGTCCCTGCCAGCTCTGCCCATCTGTTAGGGGCTAAAATAGAATATTGAGAATAGAGCTATATGAAATGTTAATCATGCTCTGTTAACCTTGATTGTCTTGTTCTAATTAAAGAATGGACATGCTAACCTGGCTTGGAGTTGTACGGCCTCTGGGACCTGAGGGTCAACCTTGGACCTGGCAGTAAACCTTGGAATGAGATCCATTCTCATTCAACAACTGCCTATTATCATGGAAAGATTAACAACCCAGATGCCCAAACAATGGGATCCCAGTACATATCCCAGCCTGCTCTGCCCACTTCCTCAGGCCTGTAATACCCATTTTGCATACCCATCCTTATCCCCTTTGCCTACTTCCCATGTAACCCTTATCCTACCAATATAAGCAGCGGGGGAGGGTGCAGAGCAGATTTTCGTGGATGACCCGCTGCTCTCCCACGCTGCTGGCATTACTGGAATAAATGCTCATATATGATTCAACCCTGTCTCTGCTGAATTGGCATGAGTAGTGGCGGGCAGCCCAGACCCATTGGTTGTCCAGTGTCACATCCAACCATCTGTTTAGTTTGTGCGACAAAATGCAAAGGCACAGGACTCACTGTAGGAAAGACTAGGAAACAGCACCTAACTGCTATTTCCCACCATCACTAGCGCCTTCAGGTGAACTCGGTCACCTTTTGAGATTTCCCCAACATCCAGACCATTCAAGAAATGCTAATGAGTACTTCTCACCAGTTTCAGTTCCAGTTTAAAACCCCCAAGACCTCCTAACCACAAAATAGCTAAAAAGAAATAAGAAACTGCTGAGGCCCTCAGTCACAGACGCACCCACGCCTCTCTTGGTCAGCATCCCAGGCTGACCCACCCTGCCCTCAGCAGGACTGCCCTTCAGGCCAAAGGCACCAGGCACCGTGTGCCCCGGAGCCCACAGACAGGAGCAGCCCACACTGTGGGCCAGGTGGAAGTGCTGGAACCCTCGGAAGCACTGGAATCCCCCTTTGAGGACCCAGCCCCTCCTCGCTTTAAGGCTCCAAGGCTCTGACCCAATCAGAAGCCCAAGTGAGCAAGGCAGGGCCGGCCCCAGCTCTGCATGGACTCAGGTCACAGACAGAATCGAAGAGTCGGGGCGAGGCGGCAGCTGCTGCATAACCGACCCCTTTCCATCCCCCCTCCCCCCACCTTTTCCCTTGTGCTTCTCTACTCCCCTGGAGGGAGGGTGGGCTGGGATCTATCCTCGGGCCAAACCACGCCCACAGGTCCCACATGGCTGCAGCCCTTGATGGCTCCACCTGGACTGTTTTCACGCTGAGCGCCACTCAGCCTCTGCTTCGAGGCCCAGAGTTTTCCAAGAAACTGAGGCCTCTGTTCAGCGGGTCAAAGTGCACAGGCTGCAGATTTGGCGGATAGCTCTGGGGGCGTTAAAAATCAATGAGAGCCCTGGCCAGGTGGCCCGGTGGCTGAGGGGTCCTGTACACCAAAAGGCTGCGAGTTCGATCCCTGGTTGAGGGTGGGCACAGGAGGCAACCAATGGATGGACACATCAATGTCTGTCTCTCTCTCTCTCTCTCTCTCTCTCTCTCTCTCTCTCATCTTTAAAAAAACAAAATCATCATTGGGTGAGAACTAAAAATAATAAATAAACCAGAAAAGCAGCAGGCAGGTCGGGAGGGTGCAGGGTCCCGGGCTCCGCACCTGCCGCCGGCTCACCTTCACAGAGAGGTCGGTCGCGAAGCCCAGCAGGCAGAGGACCTCGACGCTCTCCGTCAGGCCGCAGGGCGGGTTCCAGGGCTTCGAGCGGTAGCGGACGTCTGAGGTGCTGGTGAACGAGGAAGGGGTCTCAATAAAAGCCAAAAACAGGATCAAGAAAATGATGAAGCCCAAAATCCTAGAAAGGGAACAAAAAAAAGATTAGAACGTGAGAACCAGCCACACTCTGGGTGAAAAACCAGATGGGCAGGCAGAACACCCAGAGCGCAGCAGGGCGGACGCCGTGGTCCCCAGGCAGAACCACAGCTCCTGCCCTGTAGCTACCCGTGTGCTCAGGTAACTCAAAGGGAGTTGAAACAACTAGCATGGCTGCCCGGAATGTCCGCCCTCCTGTCTACCGTCCACTCCTTTCCAGTAAGGAGGGCACAGAGCATCTTCTCCACTTGGGGACAGGGGCCCGCCCGCCTGGACCTGAGACAGCCGCCCAGCCAGGCTTCGAGAACCCCAAACCCCACACGTGTGCATTCTCACCACTGGCAAGCGTCCGAGTAATACCATCGGTAGAGCCACATCGACCTGGTGTCCATGCGGTGGTTAATGGAGCGATACTGGAAGTGAACGGTCATAGAGGGGAGCGTCAGTGAGGGTCCCCTCGGTCTCAGTGCCACACAACACAGCCAGCCGCACACGGGCCCAGGGTGGGGGGACAGGTTGTAGGGTGAGCTTCGACTCAGCAGGCGGGCAAGGTGCCCCACCGTAACCCAGCAAAGCCACACTGTGCCAAGCAGGCAGAGCGCATCCCAAGGGGCAGACCCCTGGCCAGGCAGGTCCTCCAAAGGGACACTCGTTTTCTGAATGCACAGCTGGGCCCATGTGCCTGGGAGCTCTCTCCCCTGTGCGAGGCCCACTCCCTGCCCCCACTTCAGCTGTCACCCCCAGGAAGCCTGCAGCCTAATTCCACGATTGGGCACGGCTCGCTTCCATATTCTATTCCCCTGTTCCCTGCGTGTCGTTTGCAGGCAGGGGATGGTCTTGCCATCTTCGGGCATCTTTCACAGACACGGATGAGGCAGCAGACAACAGGTCTGCAGTAGGCGGTAAATCAATACAGCGAATGGCTGGGGACTCAGAAGAAGAAATCCCAGCGCCCACTTTTAGGGTTACGTGGACCACACAGTCTACCAACCTCAGCCTTGACCCCAGGACAGTGAGGAGTAAAGGGCCATCGGGGCATCCATCACCCAATGCCCACAGCCCCAGACAAGCCCAGGCCCCGCCACCGGGAGCGGGCGCTGCCCACCTGGATCGCGTCTTCGATAAAGATCACAGCCTGTTCAAAGCACAGCTCCCGCCTGGCCTCGGCACCTGGGGCAGAGAAGGAGCACACTGGGTGAGGAGGGATCACATGATGCCCAGCGCTGCAGCGTGACGGACGTCAAGGAAGGAACCTGCCTCCGTTCTCTCCCCAGGCTCCGGATCAAGATGCCTTTCACCTGCTGCGTGTCCACACCCGCCCAGAAGAGGACCCCACTCGGCGCCCTGCCCGGTGTGTGGCGGGGCCTGAACTGGGACAATGGCCTTTCGCTGTGTGCCAAGTACTCCGGTTCCTGCCCCGTGACCGAATCCCTGGGGAAGAAATGGAATCTGGCCTGGAGAGACCGAAGGATACAGCTTCTGAGATAAGAGACAAGCAGCCGGGGCCCAGGCTCGCTCCAGCCCCAGGACCAGGGTGCAGCTGAAGGGGCTCAGGCCCGGGCAGGCCACTACAGGCCAAGAGTATGGGGCACCCCGGAACCGTCCAGCACTCGTCCAACACGATCGCCCGGCTTTGGTTGTTGCTGTGTAAAATTCTGGGTGTGGCCACCTTAGCTCACCTGGCCTTCTGCCCTCCCTCCAGGAACCAAACCTCAGGAAGGCCCATCCCACCCAGCTTTGCGGCCCCAGGCAGCACAAGGCCCCAGGCAGAGGCTGGGCAGAGACTCAATGAGCTGTTCTCAGTCCCCACTGCACCCGGGTCTCCAGAGCCAGCCAGGTAGCCTGGCAGGGAGATCCTGTTCACATCCTCAGAGGCCCTCGCTGAGGCCACAGCCTCTGGAC